TGAAAGGACAGAGAGTGATCCGCCAACACAATCACCACAAGAACAGCAAATGACCTCAGTGGTATGTGCTGAATACACACAGCAGATCAAAGTCACATTCTCTTATTGCAGGGGATGTAAACTTCCTGACTCAGCAGCGCTCAAATCAAAACCTGAAACAGAAAAGAGATGACAGTTGAACATTAACTTTGGCAAAGGAAGTGGGGATAATTATTTATTTGACAATGCGTTAGTGAAGCTGGCCTCAAATTCACAATTAAGAAGCCAAAGATCAACAGTAGTATATGCGCACATACGTGAGAATCTGGTTTGATGGATGCTAACGTTACTTTTCCATGTTGTCCTTTGCCAGCTCATTTGCATCCTGTGTGAATGGGAATCCAGACTTCTCACACCTCTCAGCCAAGTCACGCTCTGCCAATCAAAATTAAGCACATGTGAGCAAATTAATACCTTACCATATATGTTGCTGTTCACCTACTCCAGTCCTCACTGTGGCTACTCTTGCAGTCTGAGGAACACCCAATACATTGTTAAAGGGACTGTTCACTCCAAAATCAAAAATTACATATTTTTCTTTTGCTCACCTGCAGGGCTATTTATCCATTTAGATTGTTTTGGTGAGAGTTGCTGTTGTTGTGTTTTGGATGTCTGTTCTCTCGAATATAATGGAATCAGATTGCACTCTGCTTGTTGTGCTCAACGCGCAAAAAAATTACATTCGAAAAACTCAACAGCAATGTCTCTTTCCAGAAACCAGGATCTGGTTACTCAAGATAATCTACAGACCTTGTTGTGAGCAGCTTCGTGTTGGAGCTATTTTCTTTCTACTTATAACAACACAGAAGGAAGCGTGTATCTACCCATGGAAAAGTGGCTTGCGCTGGCGTCCTCCTTGGCTGAGCTGTAACGTTAGTTCACCTAGCATCGCTGAGATAGCCAACGTTCAGCTACAATAAGTGGGTGTAGTTTTGCAGAAAGAAAATAGTTCCTACTTGAAACTGCTCACAACATGGTCTGTGGATCATCTTTGATAAGTGGGTCATGACTTCTGGAAATAGACATTGCAGTTTGAGTTTTTCTATTTTATATTTGTGTGTGTGAGTGTGTGTGTGTGTGCACCACAAGCCAAGTGCAATTTGGTTCCATTATATTTGAGGAAAGGCAGATATATCTACGGCCGTTATCTCAAACACTCGGTGACTCACCCAAAACAATCTAAGATGGATAAATAGCACCATAGGTCGGAGGGAAAAGATGTGTTTTTGATTTTGTTTTTGAACTGTCCCTTTAAGCGATTATAATCCATATTTGTATATAAACAATCGATCATTTGATTACATGTATGTTAGAGGCGTCACAGATACCCAAGGCTCTACAGGGCTATTTACCTGTTTTGGTTCACTCTCGCTCAAATCCTACACACTGGTCCTTTAAATTGTATGTTAAAAAATGTTTGTCTACATGCATCACTCAGTCCTGCACCAGGTTGTTGCTACAGAGACTTGCAGAAATATGATCTGATCACCTGATTTGATATTACACAGTGCTCCACAAATTCTATAATTCTTCCTTTACCAGTGGGGGGTCTGAACATTGTGAAATCATCACCTCGTAATGATGTATACAATCTGTGTTGACTATAAGACACTAAACAGGCAGAGATTACACATCCACATCCACTCTGTCTTCCCAAAACCTCCATGATTCATATCTGTTTCACAACCACATATATATGCTCTTTCCCTTGTTCCCATGCTTCATCTCTCTGCGTGATGCTTCTGACCTTTTGGTATTGTTAAAAATGGGGAAAAAAGAGCTTAGAAACAAGACACTTTTGTCCTGATCAGTGTCAGCATGTTCCTGGTGTTTTTTACAGTATGTTACAGTGATCTCATTCTCATTCAGTTCATAAATCAGATTATGACCCGTCACTTCAGGGCTGCAATGTACCAACATCTCTGAACCACTAGGTGGCTCCCTGCCTTTGTAAATCTAGTAATTAGGGTCCACTATGGCAAGGTATCTTAATGACTGCAGTGAGGCATAATAGTCACACTGTGTCCAGTTAAGTTTATATCTTCATAATATGAGAAATATTCAAGTTTTCAGCTACAATTAATTCAGTCTTTCAGGTATCTTTCGCAGCCATCCCTTTAGATAAAACAGCCTGTAGAAAGTGATTATGGAGAGATTGCCCGTGCAAAGCAGTGGAGCAGGGTAATAAAGCTTCTGGTGTAATTAAGATTAGAGCTGTTTTCACTGGTTCTGACAGGCACCAGACACCCACGCCAGACTAAGTGAGGCTGGATGGAGAGGAAGGGAGGGAGAAAGTTAAGAGAGAGAGGCATGGCTAATCTTTAGTGCCCATGGGCACTGGAGTGAGAGAGAGAATGGTATAAAGCTGTGATGAGGAGGAGGGTAAGGAGGCATAACGCGGGGATGATTACAGGGTGAGAGAGCATGTGAGCAGGCGAGTGAAAGTTTGGGAAGACTGTCAAAGGTTGTGGGTCAGGCTGGGCGTTGAGAAGAGACGTGGACGTGTCTGTATAGCTGCAAAGACCAAATGAAAACATGAGACTGTATTTATTTTGTAACATTAGATATACAGTCTCACTAGATGGCAATCAGTCATAATTGCTTAAACTATTCCACCCTCTGGCATACCCTGACAACTACCATAAAACTCACAATGTACAGTAAATGTCAGCAACAATCCAGTCACAATACACAATGACTTATTACCATAAACTGTGTTTTTATAAGGCTGTTTTATGTCATCATAAGGGCCAAGTATGTCAAATAAACATAAACACACAGCCCTCTGTGGCCATAGTGGCGACGCTCAGTTAACATGCACAGTGCACATTCCTATTTCATGAACGTCTGGTTCATAGACAATAATGCGCTGCAGTCTAAACATACATGTGATTTCATTAATATTTCTGCAGGCTTCGTTTCTCTTTTATCAATTAGTGGGTGGTCAAACAGTGTTTGGTGCTGGCATTTTTTACAGTATGTTACAGTGATTGTATGTGTAAAAGTATCTGCGTCTCAAGAGGTTGAGTAAGTTGTCCATTAACTGCACAGTGTGCGGTTCAATCCCTGGCTCCTCGTGTCCACACGTCGGAGTGTCCTTGAGCAAAACACTGAACCCAATTGCTCCTGGTGATTAGGCCAGGGCCTTGCATGGCACCTGTGCTCCCATCAGTGTGTGAGTAATAAAAGGTTCGTTATGAAGCACTTGTGAAATAACTATATAAATGAAGTCCATTTAAAATAAGTGATTAAGCAATCGAATAGCTTAGAAACCGTAAAATCTACAGCGGTAAATTTTTATGTGGATGCGGTGCAGCTGATTTATAAAAGGTAAATGGTCAAATTGTGCTTTGGAGGGGTCTTCTTGATGAAAGAAAGAGCTACATAAAAAGACAAATTATGTAAGAACAGGATGTACACCAGCCAGAGGGATTTTTCACAGCCTGGAAACCCAACAGATGTTCTTACAAATAGCTTACAACTGCGCTAAGCATGAATAAAGTTATATCTATTAAACATTTAATAAGTCAAGCCACTTGTTACAACTTATAAACCCTCAACAGAGAATGATCACATGATGATCACAGCAATGCTTAGACGCTGATGCTGAGCAGTTATAATGTTAATTATGTTCACTATTTTAGGTTAGCATGTGGTACAGCTGAGGCTCAAGAGGATGTAAGTAGTTTTGCAGGTATTTGATGAAATAAGTGATAAAAATTCTGACCTGATGATGAAAAAATGTTAAGGAGGCATCAAAGTTATTAAAATTCATCCTAAGGGGGGCATGCCTGTTTTGTAATATCAAACAAACCTTGTGTTGGCACAAAATAAAAAGTCACAAGATAACAAAAGTCAGTAGGCTTCCTCCTGTGGGGGCCATGAATGTCGTCATGTTTCGATCTGGATGAAAAAAGTGGTTATATCTACAGACCAACATTTCCATCCTATGTTGGAAAACTAGAACCATTTAATTTATATTATAACATTTGTCATTATACATCTTCTGCAGTTTCTGTACCACTGCTGAAACACATTTATACTGTATATACCATAAATGCCACAATATTTAGTGTCCAATAACCTGGACACTAAGCCGGAAACTAAGTGGAGCCAGTAAACAAAAGTGTCTTTGTTAGAGATTTAAGGAGATTTATGTAGCTTACTTTGGCCCCTACCAGGAGTCAGGGTGTGTGTGTGTGAGCTCTGTGACTCTGACTGCTCGTTCCAATAGGATTCTGCTGTGCCTGAACAAGCTTATACCTCAGCCAAACCTGCATCAGCCGATTATGTGGGCGCGCATTTATGCATGTGTAAGTGTGTCAAAGGGTCTCTGTTGGCTCTTTTTTTTTTATCAATGGATATGGGCATTTTAGCCCATAACCATTGCACACGACGTGCAGAGATTCAGTGTTGCATTAAAGTAAACCGCACACTGAGTGGAACTTGTTTATAATATGTCTAAGTGTGAAAACATTGCTTTTTTACTGACGCAAGCTGAAGCCTATTTCGTCAGTGCTTACTCTTGCTGAAACGGTGTTTTGATAAATGAACGCCAAACTGGAAGCTGCGTATGTGACTGTGGCCCTGAAAAAAGGGTTTCTGATGGTTAGATTACACAGGATCACCCAAATCCTCACAACAAGAAGAAATTACACAGGAAAACAAAAGGAAGTTGAAGGGAGGGGGCAAGAAATTCTTTGGTAGGAAGGAAATTAATACTTATTCTGAGTATGTATATTTATAGTTTATGTGTGCCATTAAGTGTGTGTGTGTGTGTGTGTGTGTGTGTGTGAAAGAGGGAGAGAGAGTTAGTTTTATATTAATACTTTATAGATAATTTTTAACCAGCTCTAATGACAAATGTGATACGGTCTACAAATGACCCCGAGCTGGACAGTTTCACCTTGACGCATAAAGTGGAATGCTAAACTAACTGAAAGTGGTATTGTTATTGTGTGTGTGTGTGTGAGGCTGATTAGCAGTCAATAGAGCAACAGGGGCATTGAGTCACAAACCTTTCTGAGGTAAATTCATCCAGTCTCAGAGGCTCCACATTATGGCACTCCTGGATTATCCAACTTTTTTTTTACAACCATCCTTCTAGCGAACAGTCAAATATGTGTCTAGAATGCTACTTTAGTAACTACTAGGTCACCAACAATTTCAGATAGTGTTAGAGAATCGTGAAGGTTACATTTTTAAACAGTGAAGAGGGAAAGTATTTGAGGTCATGGGAAACTCAGAGAGCATTTGGTGGATTGTAGTGGAGTGCGCCTGCAGGATCCTTGGTGTTTCTACAGCAACAGGTAAGATATAAATATAAACACAAACAGAAGAATATAACAGGATTAAATTCAGAGTCACATGTATCACTTATTGTTTCAGTATGGGCGTGATTTACTTCTTTGGATAAACTTGCAGATGCACAACAGACTCCAGATCATCTCTCTGATAAGTTCTGCAGTCATTGTGAAAATATAAAAATAAAGTCTTAAAATTCAACCTAAAACTATTGGTAGTCGCAGTTGTAATAGTAATTGTGCATTTTATCTGCTGTGGTGCAACCTGTTGATGAAATCTGACTCTGAAATAGCTCTCTTAAGTTCTCCAGTGGGGCAGTATTATCCAGCTATAAAGATTTTATAAACCCACAATGTTAGAAGGTCGGATGATGATGTTGGCCAACTGTATTCTTGACCTCCAAGAACATCAAACCATCTGTTTGCTGATATATAGAGCATATAAAAACAAACTTGTCCATACATAACCTTGCTATTATGGTCCCTCCTCCTCTGTTTTCCTCAGGCACACAGGGACAGATTGCACGCAGCTCTCATAGCCACATTAAATCATCATGGGGGAAATAGCTCTCTGGTTGCTGCCTCCTTCAAAAAATATGGGACCCCCTCCACTTAAATTCAAACAGCTGCAGACACTGAACATTTACTGAGAGACATGTGCCTCGCATCATACCAAAACCAAGTCTCTGCATCCAGCTGGGTTACTGGGCTTATGCATTCACACCTACATTCGCTTTCAGTGCATTGTTTCTATATGTGTGTGTGTGTGTATGTTTACAGTGTGCCTCTGTCTCTCTGTCTGTGTGTTCACATGTCTACATGTCTGTGTTGGCCTGTCTGCCTCTGTGTGTGTTCTATGCAGACATTTATGCAGAGAGGGCATATATGTTAATATCCAGCTGGTCTATATGCAGCGTTAATTCCTCTCACACTCTATAAACTACCAGAAAATATTCCCTTGATTTCCCTCTGGTGCAGATTCTATCTCTGAGTTTCTGGTAAGCCAGCCAGAGAAATTGCTTCCATGTGTTTAGTGGCGATCAGCACTTTACCATGTTTACCTCATTTATATCTCACAGGACAAAAATTGTTAATCAAACAGGCTTTTCTTTATAGCTTTTAAGACTTTGTTGTCATCTAATTTCATCTCCTCCCATATGTGTTAAAATGTGTTTCACTGTCAGCATTCAGAATCTTCAAGATAAAGCAATAGTTTGACATTTTAGGTTTTTTTCCGAGAGTTAGATGAGAGGTTTGATAGCACTCTCATATCTATCCGTTAAATATACAGCCAGCAGCTAGATAGCTCAGCTTAGCACAAAGACTGTAAACAGGGAAACGGCTGCAAGGTGTGGCAAGATGACAAACATACCAGCACCTCTAAAGTTTACAGATTAAGAAGTTATAAACCGTATCTTGCTTGTTTAATCCTAACAATAACCAAAGCATAACACATTATGGTTTTAGTCAGGGTTATGAGCCAAACTATTTCTTTGTGAGGAGCAGTAACTTACTGAGCCATCTGCTCATCTCACAATGATGACAAGGCACCAGAATTATTGTGCCTGGCTCGTAAAACCGCAACCTGTTGTTGCCATGTAAAGACAAGATATAACAAGACATAAATGTGAATATTTTACCTTTAGTGGTGTTGGTAAGCAGATGTTGTTACCTTTGGAGAGAGCCAGGCTAGCTGTTTCCCAGTGTTTCCAGTCATTGTGCTAAGATAAGCTAACTGGCTGCTATGGGTAGATTATGTGTTTATCTAACGTCAGAAAGAAAGTGAATATTATCAATGGAATCATATAGAATTAGAGATATAAATTAAATCACATTATTGATCTCTTCAGGATACAATTTCTTTTGGTTTCCATCAACGCAGTGAGGTCAGAAGTTAAGGACAGCTGTAGAAGAGATTCAGCATCCTGCTCAAAGGCACTGCAGCAAAGTTGATTGTGTTCTGTATAATTTATAATTCATAAGCTCAAGATGTAAAAGAAGGACTATCAACATACCATGATGCCTTGTCACCACCTAACAAGTGGCAAAGCTTTTTAAAATGCCATGACTCTGCTCTGGCAGAAGAGCTGTGATGTGTTAAAGTGTCCACTCAAATAAAATTTCCTAACCCACTGGCAATGACATGGTAATTACAAGCATGAGTAAGCTATTACCAAAATGCTGCGACCATGGTGGAAAAAAATTACAACAATTACCAATATCAAGTGTTCAGTACTACCCCCTAGAGTGTGGAGTGTGAACTATGAATTCAAGTTGGGTCCCTTCAGGTCAGCTCAATCTTTATTGCTGTTTAAGGGCAGAAATGCTTTTCAGCTAGGACTTATTTACCATGAACTGCTTCAAACATCACATCTACAAGCACCAAGAATTCAGTAAACGCTACCTTGAAAGCAACATGCACAAAGTTGCATCACAGTGAAAACATTTGTACAGATTACATTTAATCACCCAAGTTTAGACCAGTTGCAACCCTGCCGGCAGCTAAGGAGAAAACCGTGAACTAAGTCTGACATCTGGTGGTCAGAATCTGCTCACCAGTAACTCTCAGAATAAAAGATAATCTTCCTGTCTTTTTTTCAGTCTTGTGTGCTGTGGGAGTGGAGACCCTCCATCATGGAGAATTCAACAGCCTCGGCATCTACCTACTGTAAGTAGGTATTATCGTCTACTTGTAATACACTGCATTTAAACCTACCACAGCACTCCTGACTTTGGCCTGCTTGAGACTAAACTGGTGGCATTCCTGAGTTACCGCCTGGTTTTTAATATTGTAAAGAATGTGTGGCCTTAGGGCTTGTAGAAAACAGTTACAATACTGTACCTGCTTTCATAATCACTCATACAAAGTGTGTACACATGCTTACAATGAGATGTTGGGAAGGAGTCAGTGGGGTGAAGTGAGGTGCAGAGGAAGACCTTCAGTGCTACTTCCTATTATATCTGTGGCTGACACAGCTAAATTCCCACAGAGCCACAGGAAAACATCTCCCAAAGGAGACCAGAAATGCATGTTTATTCTATCAGTACACACAAATGCAGATGAAGGCTGTTTACACACAAGCACACAACTCAGCGATAAGTCTTTAGAGAGACGGCTATGATGATTAGTCTTCAAGCATTTTTCTGGTTCACTAGATTAGATGGTTATCAGACTATTTAAACACAAAATAGAGAGGAGGGCATATACTGTAGTACCAAACACAACTCCTAAATGCCAAATCTTTTGCATCATATGAAACCGATACCGACCTTATATAGGTCGCTTGAAGTCTCCCCTTGCTACCCACAATTTAGAAAATATAATCTTCACCAACAGCCATAGATAAAATACAAAGAAACTGACATATTTAAATATCTAACCTAATATTTTAAATCTTATTTACAAACAGTTTACTGATTTTATCAGTGAGACTGTATCAGTTTCATTGAGCTCTGAACTTCTTTCTCCTCCCAGAGTGTCATCTGTTGGTATCATGATGTTTGAACTTGCCTATTTCCTGGATACTCTTCTGTTCATGTGTCTGCCGTGAGTAAACAACACACATCTGCAACATCTGTGCTCTGCATGGATACTGTAGCATCAATTCACAGAGGGAAAATCACATATAGAAACTATATTTATCATTGCAAGGCAGGTCCAAAAACCTAAATCTAAACATGGACTTTCCATTTTGTTAGTCTGTCCTGATGTCTGCCATTGTGTCAGCATTCACATATTTACCTGTCTTTAGTGTCAGAATAATAGTGTGAATGTGATTTTTTAGTCCTAACAAGAATAAAGATAGATGGTAGAATTGGTTGTAAATTGAGTCTCAGTCCTTCCTTTTCTTCCTCTCTTTCACTATAGCTGTCCTCCAGACTGGCAGCTGTTTGTATTGTGGGGGAAGATGGCTCGCATTGGAGGCTTCCATAAGTTCCTCTATTACTCCATAATGTCAGTGGTCTGCTTCTTGCACCCTGTGTTGGTGTGGCATGCAATTATCCCAGGTAAAATTGCACCAGAAGATACAATACTTCCACTCATGATGATGAGCACAGTACTGTTTACTGTGCTGTTAGTGTCATTTTGACTTGTCACATCAAAGAAAAAGCACAGCTGTAGAGTATAACATTAATCTTGGCTCTGTTCTATTCAAGTGTCCCAGTGAGCTGTGACAGTGTGACAAACTGAAGCACTATTATCTATTATCTACTATCTTCACATGCTTTTCCTATTCCTATTGCACATCCTATATAAAAACTGATTTTATTTTCTGATTTCAGGGACAATGCTTCTGGTGACAGCCTTTTTCAACTTCATATTAAGCAAGAAAACCAGGATCGAGTCTCCCAAAAGGCCACAGGAGAGCCACAGCGACCAAGGCCTGACCACCGTCTGTGTGACAGGGGGAGCAGCCTCAGACAGCGCTTTCTCATTCCTTCACATGGTGACGGGAAGGAGAGGGGGAGGACTGGCTCTCACAACCAGAGACCGCTGCCTCGGCCCAGGAGAGAGAGGAGAGAGCGTCCAGGCCATGCTGGAGCTGGAGCAAACAGCAATACCTAAAGACACAGAAAGGGAGAGGAGGAGGTGGAAAGAGGGGAGGCTGATCTGCTTCAGAGGTAGGAAGGAGCCAGCGGAGAGAGAGATGGAGGAGATGGACTGCTACAGTGAGCCAGAGCCAGACACCACCTCAGACACTGCACCTATGATTACTGACTGAACGTCCCTCTGAGCCCAGGCTAAACTCCTGATTGATATCACACAAAGGAGAGTAGGTGCAATGTGTTCATACCGACTGGTGCTGGTGCTACACTGTGGTGTACTTTTAACTAAAAATAACATTATAAAATGTCTGACCAGCCAAAATAAGAGTTATGAGCATTTTTGAGTCTGCAATAATAAAGTACTGTGTATTTTATGTAATTAGACAACTAAAATGTAAAGATTATTAGATTTTTTTTATTAATTGTTCTACTGATTTGGGTATTTTTTTTTACTTCAGAGAGATTTGTACAAGATGAAAGTATTTTGAATTTGAACAATTTGATCTTCAAATGTATAAATTCAAAGAAATTAAACCATTTGTACCTAAATTGCACATGGGTGGGTTTTAGTCTGATTTTGCAAAGCCAGCATTGATTGAAGGGCAGACATTAACAGCAAGCAATCCAATCCCGTTACTGCAGCATACATTATTCATGAGGCAATAAATTAGATCATTTCATTCATTCAGCGTCAGGGAAAATACGCACGATTGTGACTGAGAATAGCAGGCATTAAGAGCCTGTGCAGGTGCATGTGTTAGTCACATTCAAGTCTCCTCATTGTGTGTTTGTCGTGTGTGAGCGGTGACCATGGAGACGGAGCTCTGGGAGGACTGCTCATGTTATTATGGTGATGAGAAAAGCATCAGTTCACCCACCAGAGCGCCACCACAGACGTACGTTTCACCAAAACATATCTTATGTGCCACCACACCAAACATGATTACAAGTGTTATTCATGCATTAATAACATGTCATATGCTGTGCATTGATAATATTAATAGGCTGTGTGGATCAGACCCAAGCTCCATAAATCACCCTGAAATTAGCATATTTGTGATACAAAGGCTTGTCTGAAAAGCCTGTATTAAAATTGTATTTGTTTTTCTTTTGTTTTATCACGCTACAAAGGATATAATTCTCCATACAGACATTCATCTTTTGTTCAGGTCATAAATCAATACTGTTTTCTTCTGTCAAAACACTCACACATACACACGCTGTATTCCTCAGTCCTTTGTTCACTGAAGTGTAGCTATATAACTGTATGTAGCCTTAAGAGGCAATCTTTCTGCAGCATCAAAGCTAAAGAGAGAATCAATAAAAGCAGAGAGTCTCATTCATCAGAAAGCACCTCACTGAGAATGAGGCCAGACACATGAAAACACGCTCACGGATAAATAGCCTCTAGGTTAAACAACTGGGTTATTCTCCATATTTGACACCAGTTACATCCCCAGCAGCTACACAGTGTCATATAATGTTTCATTCAACATGTTTTATTTTTTTCGCACAATATCTCAAAGCCAAGACATGTGAATCCAGTCAGGAGGGATGAGATGTTTTGGTATTTTTATGGGGAGAACAGAGAGTCTTTGTCCTGGGTTCACTGAGGCCGCTCATTGGCCCATAGTCAGGGCTGTATTATCAACTTCACAAAGATCTCTGGTCAATTAGCAGCTGAGTGACCCGATAATAAACAGAGGAGAGGAAATGAACGTCAGTATTTCCAGTCCGCTTCCATAAATGTTCCTCCAACTTTGTCATGCCCATATCCTTTAGAATGAGCTGTTCTCTGTGGGGGAAGTTATTCAGCTGCTGGAACAACTTACTTCCTCTGTGCACATTAAATCATAAATCCTATTCAGACAGACAGAGAGAGGGAGACTTCCTATAGTTGGCGTTTCCACCCTACAATAGTTTCCTAGATGGTAGGTTCAGGCTCAATAACAGGATGGGTGAAATACATCTTTACAGGTCACAGGGACTTTTTCCTTCACTGCTGAGCTGGAAAAAAACAGGATAGGTGCTTTAAAGCTTTAAAGGAATCAGATTTCCTTATCGCTGCATATATAAAGGCAGACAAAAAAATGTCTTTGTATTGTTTGTTTAAGTGTTAATATTCACAAAGCAAAACAAAAATATAAAATGACATAGCAAACTATAAAAGCATAAAACAACACAAAAGGCAATATTCATAAAATTCAAGCATGATACAGAATATAAGTAAAAACTAAAATATAACTTAAATCAGCACTTATCTAAGAATAGTCAATCAAATCCTTCACTGATTTGTCCATAACTGAACAGAAACTCTGACACAATAACTGTATCTAGCAGTGCACAAGAAGGGAATCCATTTCCAGGATTCAAAATATTAATACAATATCTGAGCTGATATTCTTTCAGCAATGAAGATCAGACTGTAAGACTCTGCTCTGACTGATGAGACTAAATCAAAGCACTCAGAGGCACCTTGATGAAGAGGTATGATACCCTGACTTTGTTGATTCCGCCCACGCTCAACGCTCATTGGCCAAAGCGTATCAGTGCGGTCTTCTATTGGATCACCCCGTTGTCAGTTTTATCTCCCGGCTCTGAATACCGCACAGCCGGGGAGGCATGAAGACCGATAAGGAACGGTAAACGGGATACATCGCTGGTGGATATACGGAAGAAGACGGAGGACGCGCTCTGCTATGGTAAGACCCAAACTGACCGAATTTACTGCAGGATGTTTTTTTTACACGGAAATATTAAGAGGTAAGGTCGATGCAGTCGACAACCCTGAAAAAAAAACATCTGGTAACGAGAGATGTTCTGAAGTTGGATGCAGGTTACTAACGGTGTGCATAGAGTTTCTTGCATTGAGGGAATATCAACGCAGTGATGGGAATACATGGTTCTTCAGCAAGTGATCTGCTGATAAATGTCTCTCTGCAGCTTCCCGTTTGTCTCTAAATTTAGACATTTGTGAAAAATGGGTTTCACTAAATTTGGCGTCGTGCGCGTCATTTGGAGCTCTCCTGGACCTTTTTACGCGTGGGAATGGATTGTCTTCGGGTGCAGCTGCCAGAGTAGGTGCGATAATTGGATACGAATCTCGCGATGATCAAACCAATTAGCAGACCTGCAGTGAAGGTTCTTTGTCCACCGAGGGAGCTTAAACTCGGAGGTAATGCGCAATTTAGTCACAGGAGAGAGAAGAGACAGATTATGTAAATTCACCTAAATCTGAGCACCACCCAGTAGAGTGACCCCTATCTTCTTTGCACAGCTCTAAGCCTTTGGTCTGTCTCCTGTGCAGCCATGTGCAGAGGCTGAATAATTCATAATAATGGTGACAGACAGGAATCCTTTAAGTTATGGAATATTTATACGGCCATTATTATGTATGAATATGTATGAGAGATAGGCTGACCATCCCATTATGCACCTACTTTGTCAGCAGTTTCCTTGGATGAAAGTGGAGGTGGGCAGAGGACATTAAAGGGAGGGAGGTAGGATAGGTACTCAGTAGTACTCACTAATAAAAAGAACAATCCAAAAGACTCTTGTCTTCTTCTTTCATGCCCAGTGTTCATAGTTTAGCTGAATTTGCACCTATTTTCCCATAGATCACTTCCCAGTCAGTGGTGTCGTCAGTACTGGGCAGCCCGTTTCCTGGTTTTTGTGGTGACTATCACTGCTCATGCAAGCATTTTTTTCTTCTATTTTTACCTTAGTAACTTCTGTTTTAGCGACAGGACATGCAAAAAAAATTATTTCCAGTGTACCAGAGATTATTAGTGGGAAAGAGCTACTTCATTTGATTCTTAAGAATAACTATTGAGGAGTTTCATGAAGTAGGTTCAATTTATTATAAATTGGTTATCAAAATGGAGTATCAAAGAGGAACTGCACATTAAATAAGATCCACATTAGTATTTAAATTGATTAATGTCCCTTCTTTATCATGTGATCAAATGATACACTGCAACATGGATCATCTCAGAAAGTTATGAGAGTCACAGCCAAAAAATCAGCCACTAGGGCTTTGGAGTAAAAGCTCCATCTGTCCACAATCCTGCAGGTGGTGTCAGAGATCATAATACAAGTTAAAGTGAAACAGCATTTCTTCTGTCACTGAGCCAATGCTGCTACACTTAACACAGCAGATGTACATTACGGTTTAGACACTAGATGGCAGCACAACCCAGTGTATCAATTTGTAGCAAACATTTCTTCCCTTTCTACTCTTATGATCAGCTGATTCTTAAAGTAGGTTTTAATAAATGCTCAAAAAAACAAAAAGTTGTCAGACCAAAGCATAAAATGTAAATATAAATAAAAGGTACCTTATTAAACTTTTGTTAAGCAAATACAAAGACACCGCAATCACAATGTACAAACAATGAATAAAGCACTATTACACAGTGATAAGAGGCTATACTGCTATAAAACTGATCAATAATTTGCAGATTTATGACTAAAACTGTGTACCTTTTGATTATGTGGTTACACTTGCATACCATATAAATATGTGTGTAGTGAGTTGCAGAAAAGGTAAAGCAAGTATGTGTGAAAGTGTTAATAAGTTTGGTAAACAATCTTTCGTAGCTGGTAGCTAATATTAAAATTTGGGATGTTTTGTTGATGAAAGCATAGTAAACTGTAATGTCAGGCTTGAATGGGACTTTAACAGTGGTGGAAGAAGTATTCAGGTCCTTTACATAAACTCTCTATATTGTAGAATGTTTAATGAGGTAGAAGGAGTAGATGTCTTTTAAAGGATTTTAATGTGGAAATTATTCTTTTTTTCTAGAACGAAACATATTAGACACACATTATTGTTCCTATTTGTACACACGTCACACATGTCATAATACATTTCTGAAGTAGCAATACCACAGTAGGAATTATGGTGGCAGTTTGTTTAATAAAGCATGATCTTGCTACAAGACAGTTACTGTATCTTCTCAACCATAATCCTTTTTTAACCTTATCGGCAGTGAATAATATTTGACTATAAAAGGCAGTGTGACAAAGGGGACCTTGTTGAGCAGTTTACTTTCACTTTCCATATTAACACCAAGTGCTGTCAGGCATAGAGTGATGACAACAAGACCACATAGCAGTGTGAAGAGTCCATACCAATGTCAATAGGTGTTATAGGTACAGGTTAGCACATGCCTTGGTTATTCACTTTCCATTACCCTAATTGATGTGAGTGCACAGCTAAAGTATTAAGTTTGTTTGTGTGTGTGTGTGTGTGTGTGTGTGTGTGTGTGTCTGTGTCTGTGTCTTTGAGATATATCCTGTCACATGATTTACAAGAAATCTCAAAAGCTGGTATGATAAGCTACAATAGAACACTCACTTTCATCAATTCACACTCATATCGCCTGGACATCTAAGTTGTGAAACACCAATAATAGCCCATAAAGGTATAAAACCCCAACCTATGATATGCACTATTTACATTATTATGTTTTCCAGAAGCCCTCCAGCAAATTCTCTTACATTAAGTGGTCACTTCTGTAGATTTATGCCATGTAAAGAGATATTTATACACATTATGATACCATTCAGTTGACTCCTGTTATAGCTTTGAGTGCAGATGTTTTTAGTGAGACATGTTTGCTTTGTGCCTACCGCTGACTCACATCCTGTAGTTTATTAACTAAAGCTGAAGCTGTGGGTTTAGTGACCTCTCATATCCTGGAAGCAATCACTGTCCCCATCATTCAGTTCTTAAGACAATCAGGAGTTTTAACAATGAAAAGCACACAAGGCCACGTTATTGTTTTGATATATTTATTTTAAAAAACATGTCTAAAATCTCTATATTTGTATAAAAATAAATAACTGATTACAAAGAGTGTCTTTAGTTAGCTTTTCCAACTGTATACACAGAACCACAGATAAACAATGCATTGACCATTTAACAGTGTTAGCTGTTAACATTTCTGAAAAGCCTCCAGGGCTTAGTTTTTATCATCCTCAGTCATTTGAACAGAAACAATAAAGCCCCCTGCTGCTGGCCTAGAAAGAGAGTTAGATTCACAGCCCAGACAACAATTTAGGGGAGCTTGATGTCCGAGCTGTGTGACATTTATAGAAAGAAAAGTGGTAGGGAGCTGGTGAGGGATGGAGAGGGGGGTGTTTAATGGCCTCTGGTGGCTAGTGTGGCAAGAATCAGCACATTCACACTTCTCTCCATGCAGTAGCTTTGTATAATTTGTCTGGCTGGTTGATTATTGGGAGTTAGAGGATGAGGTATTTCTGCTCTGGCCCTGGCTCCTCAGTTTAGACCGCTGGCGCTGCTGACCTCCTCTCTTATTCTTCCTTCTCCTCCTCAGGCAAACCTTCACATCTCGACGCAACTTTTGAGCTCTAGAAAACACAAACAGAAGTTCCGAACTTTAGTCTTGGGGGCAGGGCTATAAATTGATACTCTTGGAGTAAAAATCAGACAACCTGTACAGCTAAGTCGGTCAAATATTTGGATATCATGTTTGTAGTGGCATGAATAGCTTTTACCGAAGAATATAAACTAAGTAATGAAATTAGTTGATTACCACTATGTTATAACAAGTTGCAAAACGTGCAGAGGAAAGTTGAACAAACAGCCCAACTATGTGCTTTGTCAGGGCAAGAACTGGCTTGGCAGCAAATAAGATACTCTTGGCAATATGAAGACGGGTGGAACCCCTCTGTAGCCAGTTAGGACACTGGGCTTAAATATTCTGCAATCTTCCATGTAATAAGAATAGTGAATCGTTTATTTTTTTTTTTACCTAAATTGAAGGATTACATGATATTTTGGGGGTTGGCAAGTCTTTTTAAGTTTCACTGATCAATGCTCTCACCTGTTCCAGCAGCGGATCAGCTGTTTTCCCAGCGGTGCCTCTGGACTCAGACACAGTGGCTGGTTTCCACCCCTTAGTGTCACACTGAGAAACACATGTAAGGCCACACATTTACTCACAATCATCTGGATGTGTGTGTGTTTGCATGAGTGTTTCTGTAGGATCTGGTACTCACATTACTGTGACTTTGTCACAGCTGGGGTTTTTATGGTAGACGGTGAGATCTTTCAGTTGCCCTCTCACACCCTGTTGCGTCTTTGGACACATACATCTTCCCGGGACAAATGTGCTGTCTGACTCTCTCACTGCACAGACACAGACACAGTAACAGGATTACAGGCTGATTCAATACAGCGCAACATGAGCAGAGATTTAATTACCGCATGTCCACATGCTCAGAGAGCTTTGTCTAAATAAAACACTTTTACTGTATCCAGATTTTTTTAAATAAAAAACACACATAAGAGCATAGATGAAGCTGTAGATTCTTACCTGTGATCAATGCACAGCAGATGCTCAGAAAGGCGAGCTGACAGACGGATTGAAGATAAAGCGCCATACTAGAAACAAGCTGAGCGTTGAGACTGAGCCCCTAAGCCACATGTTGCTGTTTTATACTCCTGCTCCTCCCCCTCCAACTCTGGGCTTTCCAAACCAGGAAATTCCCCATGGCACTTTCCTTTCTGAAAATATCTGGGCATAGGAATCAGGATGCAGGGATCAGGGACACAATTTCTGTGACTGAAAAAGACTTGACACCCTGAAGGACATTGGTTAATTGGTTTATTTGTTTTTTTCACTGTGCATTGAATTACTTGCACAAAAATCGTACTCTTCAGAAACTGTGCCACAGAGATGACTGAGGGGCATTTATATTCATTATTATGATGCTAATTGTTTGTAATAAGTTAGCCACACTATCTGGAGGTATCCTTTTGATGACACAAAAGACACAGATGTGTTTTCCGGGCTTTGTTCAGCATTCTCCCTTACATGTTGCTTCTATGAGTCTGTTGGCGCGGTGTCAACAACAGCATGTGATTTCTCATAATTCCCTGTCCCTGTTTTTTGAACAGGAGTCATTTGTTCAACAGCATTTGATTAAAAAGAAAACTTCCAATCCACAAATTGTCAGCAACAAAACGTTACAACACATTAAACTAAGTGGCATAGTTTATATTTATCGATCATTGTTTTTGTTATATATTTCTATGTGGTTGTCCATCACCTTTTTAAAAGAACATGGTCAAAGGAGTTTTCTCTCTGGGGATAATTAAGGTCAGTTTAGTTATCTAAAAGGGACAATGCACATTATATAACACAAGGACTTAAGTTCACCATGTTAATGTGCAATTTATAGAGACTCAGTAGTTAAGATTATACACAATGTTTATGTTTGTCTCTCATGTGTTTCTGCTGCAGCTGGGCTCCAGTCAGAATGAGTGAGTGTCAGACCTACGTGAAGCTCAGTGAAGAGAAACTTATACCGAAGTAAGTCCTTTTAGTTCACTCCCTGCACAGTAATTACACACAATTAAACAAATCACCATGGTGACTATTACATGTATTAGATTTCATGATTGCTTGCATTTGCATTTGAGAGCTATTAGTGCTAATCTACCATGTGTGGTCTTTTTATATTCAGGTCTGACATCTTGTCTCTGCTGAGGACCTACAACTGTTACCATGAAGGGAAAAACTTTCAGCTGAGAACTCGCGAGGTAAGAAAAGGCGAAGCCGCCATATAACCTGATAAACGGTGCTGGCGGAAGTGAGAAAGTTATTGACAATTGCTCGACGGCATGTGTGGACGTGCAGGACAGACAGCATTGTAAAATGGGTCACACATATTGCCTATCAAAACTGGAACCAGTTAAACCAGCAGTCTGATTCTAAGGCAGATAAGGAGGACTAAAAAAAATCTGAGACCAAGTAATCTCCCAATGTGGCTGCAGTTCTGAGCGCAGACCTGCGATTCCTGGGTAGTTTTCCAACGTGCCAAACCACAAAAAGCCCCCTTTTACCTCAAAATGCAAAAGGAAATGGAAGAGGGAGGGCTTTCTGATTTTAGTCATATACACTAACCACTTAGAGAAGTATTTCAGTACAGTAAACATTTTGCTGTTGTGTCTGTAAAGCTGCTTGCAGGAGTTTGGTTATTTGTTTGATAATCATTCTATGGGTTTTATGGTCGGGAGTTCCCCTTTGTATTCGCCAGCAGGTTTTTGAGAGAGAGATGGGGGAAAGAGAGAGAGAGTTAGGTGTGTGTGTGCGTGTGTGTGTGTGTGTAGGAGTGTAGGAGTGTAGGGCAGGGTGGTCATGATCTGCCCCTCGTCTGTCCCCTCAGCCAGATCCACAACATCATCTCACTCTGGGAAAATCCCCCACAGTCACAGACATAAGATGGGTACATACACATGTTTAATAGAGGGACCAATGATAAGACAGTATTGACATAGTTAGTCAAAAGTAACGATACAATAGCTTAAACCTGTTTACTGAATATTGATATTTCATGAGAAGGCATGACACTCATTATTATCCCACATTATAGAGAATGACTCAACACATTGCATTACACCACTGTAACTTGTCATCGACCATCTGAAGCTTTGATGTGGGATTTTAACAGTACGTCATGTTTTCGCTGAAAGTCAGTAACTCCACCAAAACATGTCGCTTCACTAATCTACTAATCTGCACTATACGTTGCTTTCTGTGTTATTATTTATTGCTCTCCAGGGCTCCAGTTTGGTTTCACAGAAATGTAGAAAACTGACTGGAGATAAGAACCACAACATGACAATGACTCACTTTAAAGTGAAATTGACTCATTCATATAAACCTCATATTACCCTTTCGATTCGCATTCACAGTTAACTCTTTTTTTGTCAAGAACGATATATTTGCTTTATCGGTAATCAAATATTAGCAGCCTTTTAGCCGGATGTAACAAATTCCACACAGATTACATTCACACAAATTGTTCAGCGTAGTTGTAACGGAGATATTGTTCAACAAAAATGGAATTGGTGAGGAGACATTAGCATAAATTAGCCATTTACAGACACGGGAACACTTAATGGGAACTATGGGCCAGGGCACTTCACTCAAGCCTAATCCCTCCTGTGCCAAATGTGGTGATAATGGGAAATTTATTTCTGTGTGCACGTGCAAACACAGTATAGCTAGCTCAGTCTACTGTGACTGAAATGCTGTATTTGCAGGCAAATTTTTTTATGGCTGTTGCAAAGCTATAGCATGACAATCTGATCATCTGAAATTTGATCCTGACGAGTAAAGATTCTTTTCCAGACAAGTTTATCTTGTTCCACTGCTTAATTTTACCAGGACAAAAGTACTGTACTCTTTATACTTAAACACTCTTTATAATTGTTTTCTAGTTTTTTAGTCTACAAGGATTACTGGCATTGAACAGCATCAACTATGTGTCATGAATACATTTGTCTGGTAGGAGCTTTAAAGAACCACTTTGTTGGTCTCATCCCTGTGTCTCTATGTATTTTTTCTTTACCATTGAAACTGCAGCTGAACAAACAATCGCTCCCCCAAGTTCATTGAGTCGCTGTTCTGGAGGTTTCAGTCTTTTAAACTTTTAAATCAACATGGATGAGGCGTCCTCGAAGTGATTAGAAAAGGTGGGCAGCATCATCTGCTGAAGAAAATTATGTGACAAATGATTGAACCCTGTTCACACTGACACACAATCAGGGCAAAGATGAAAATTAATTTATTTTTTGCTCTAATAATTTATGCTTGACATGATCTAGTGACATTGTTAGTGCTGTTAGAGTGAAGCCAAAGGTTACTCAAGAGTGACTCATTGACTATTTTGTGGAGACACAAAGCATTATTCAGCAGTAACATTCTTTGGTTGGAACCAGACTTAATGTGAGTTAAAAGCAATGACTGTGTGAGCGGGTTCAGATGACAACCAGCTGTAGGCATTTCATAATGTCCAGACAGAGCTTCACTGTGGTCATATATACCCAACATTCCTGAATATTTGTTTTTATTGGTCGATGATCAGGATTCTGTGGGAATAGAGATGTGGGAAGACGCGGTTGGAGGGGGTACGAGGACTTATAGGTGTTGTTTTAAGTTTACATGATCACACTCTTGTGTGTTTGTCATGATGTGGGCGGACATGTCAGGTGGTTTGACTTCGAGGTTCAGTGCTATCCACATCTCTGAGGAGAAAACAAGCTTTAACATGTGTTCCTAGTAACAGTGCAACTGTATTAGCTGTTATGATATTGATGATGCTGGAGGCATTTTCTCTTTTGACTGCTCAGACTGCAAAGAACAGCCTTGCTGGAGCTGGTATTGATTCACTCTTGCTCAAGAGCACTTCAGCATGGAGGATTGGTGCCTATAACCCCCTGCTGCCAAATAATCTGTGAATAATAATGTGGTATAGTCAAAAGATTTCAGTCTGATCCGGGATCAGTAAAACAAAGTAGAGGCTCATTGACTGTACATGTCTGCTGAAACAACTTCAAATGTCAATCTATTTGCATGCAGCTCCCTCTACTGGCTGTATGAGGTACTTTTTAGTTTAAGAGGTCATTACTGTAGCACCATTGACTACCACTAGATGACAGTGGAGTGCTGTGCTTTTTTTAGATTTGAGGCTCAATGCAAAACAAATCCTTGTGTGGTTTGTTCTTTAACAGTGGTAGAAGAAGTAGTCAGATCCTAAAAATATTCCAGTTAAAGGTCCTGCATATATATGATCTTGCATAACTAAAAATAGGGAAGTTTTATCAGAAAAATGTACTACTGTGAATTAACTATGCATTGAAATCTCTCTCAAGTCTCATGTGAGAGTTATATTATCAGTGATTATATAATTGTAATATTAAAACTGATGCTTTATGTTGATCAAAGGAGGCCATTGTAACTAGCGTATATACTGTTGGGGGGGGTTTATCTGTAATATAATGACAGTGGTGGAATAAGTACTCAGATCTTTTAAGTGCTATAATGCTATATTGTAATATAGCAATACTGTTAGAGGTAAAAGTCATACATACGTACAGATTTTATTGTGTTAGCATCAAAATATACTTAAAGTACCAAAAGTAAAAGTACTCATAATTATAATATATAAATGCTAATTTTAGTTACTCTGTATACTGCTGGGTAGTTATAGTTATTAATAATAATGTGTTGTAATGTATTTGTTTATCATATTTTGTATTATCAATCTAACTAAAGATATAAAATAAATGTAGTGGAGTAAAAAGTACAATATTACCCCTCTGAATTGTATGTAAATACTCATGTAAAGTGCCACAAGTTCTACAGTACTTGAGTAAATGTACTTAGTTACTTTCCACCACTGGCTAATAATATGGTTTGTAAAACATGGTCTGAAAATTAACCAGTCAATTAAATGTGGTGGAGTAAAAAGTAAAATGGTTCCTCTGAAGTTTATAGTAACTGCAGCACAGTGGATCAGTTGTTAACCTCACAGCCTGAAGGTCCTGGGTTTGATTCCCTGCTGGGGAGTTTGTTTGCATACAATCAAAACATTTATGTTAGAATAATTCTTCAGTCAGTGCCTTTGACTTTGAGTTGGGCCTCAGGCGCCGTACAGTGGCTGCCTGCCCAACCTAATACGTGGGATGGGTTAAATACAGAGTAGAAACTATACATTGTACTGTGTATTATTGTATGTGACAATAAGTTTATTCTATTCCATAAAATGGAAGTACCTCAAAATTGTACTTACTACGTAGTATTTGAGTAACTGTACTCAGTTACATTCTGACCTCTCAAAATCTGTGGCAGAAGCATTTCAACAATATAATGATTAGTTTTATTTATTTTATTTATACTATTTTCATTTAATTTATAAGTTAGTTTCTAAACTGTCAGAAAATAGAAAATAGAACTTCCACAGTTTCCACAACCTGAGGTGATTTTTTGTTTTCCAAAAACCCAAAAGATTCAGTTTACTGTAGAAAACAGAAAAGGAAAATTATTTCACTTGAAAACAAAAACTGGAACCAGAGAATATTTTTGCTGGTAAATGTCTTGAATGATTTCACAATTCAAATTGCTGCAAATAATGATAATAATCACTGATCATTTCAGCTCTAATTTCGATTAGAGATGTAAAGACCTTCAGCTCTTCTGTCTGTGTTTAAAAACAGCAAAGAATGAACATTTTCATGATTATTTAAATATTTTATTAGAAACTATATATTTTACATATTTACAAAATATTAAACAATGTAAACAAGTAGACTTGAGTCCTCGGTGCATTGAAATAAATAGATCTTCTATTTTCCAAAAGTCCCATCATACACTGCATCGTTTCAAGCCAAACAGAGCAGTTTCTTCCAACCTTGTATGATTATGAGATAATCCACCAAAGTGCCTTCAGGGTTCCCACAACAACAACAACGTCTCCCTTCAAGTCCTTATCTGTCCAAACAGCCAGTCTACGGGGTCTTTGCCCCGGCAGTCTTTTTCTCTGCCCATCTTAAGAGAAAAATCCTCTGTGCTGTTTAGACTCAGGCTGTAAAGTCTGGAAGTCCTTAGTGTTTTGGGCGTCCCACGAGGAAGTGAGGCTGAGACGGATAGCTTCATCTGAGCCTTTGAGAAATGCCGGAGCCTGGGGGACCTCTGGAATCTGACGGGGCCACAGCTCGGGGCCTCAACGGGGCAGGCAAGGGCCTGGATACTGGTCATGTAGTCCTCTTGAGACTGGGAGCTCTGGGCGGATGAGGGATGGACAGGCAAATCCTCAAGCGTCTCAGTAATGGTGGGTAAGAGAGGCGGGGAGAGCAACAGTCTCCTGCGTTTCATGCTGTAATGGGAGAGGAAATATAAAATTGTTAGTGATTTAAGATGGTGATTTACATTTTCTGTGTTTCTGTGTCTGTCTGTCCTGTCACTGTGCTGCTAAAAAAAATCTGCAACATTGGTTTTGTATCTGCATTTGTTGTTTTGCTTCCTATCTTTCAGCCTTTTGCCTTTTAGCTGTTTTAATATAGTGGATAAAGTGATAGAGGACTACTTTCTTTCCTTATTCAATAGTGTGAATTACAAGTTAAATGACACAATGTTTAACTTTAATCACAATTTGCGTTTTTACCTTCTGTGTCTGTAAACTACATAATATTTCCCTTAAAATTTCCTTAAAATAAACATGAAAAAATTGCTAAATTGTATGGCCTCTATAATAAAGAATATCTGATAATGAAGAAGAAGAAGCACTCTCACCTTTGATGCTTGATCTGTAGGTTCCACATGCAGAGTGAAACAGAGCAATGTCTAGTCCGTTCAGTTGAGTATGACTGGACTGGAGCACGTATCCAGGCTTTATAGAGGCAGACTGAAGCAAAGCAATTAACCACCCCTTCCAAAAATAGCTCTGCTGACCTTACTCACATCTCCGTCAATTTGTGTGTGCGCGCGTGTGTGTATGTGCGTGTGTGTGAGAGAGAGGGTGTGTTCATGCCTGTTCAGGAAGCTCAGGAGTGCCGGGTTAGTGAGGTTCAGTGGTGCAGCTGCTCTGAATGTTTATATTCCAGAAACAATGAAGCCCTGGGAGCAATCTGCCTCACCTTCAAACTTCCAAACCTTTTCCTGACTTTTCAGTATTAAAATGATTGTTATCATCTAAAAATGGTATTAAAAGTGACCGTGTTCACCTCCAGTATTCTTATCATTTCAGCAATTGCACATATCTCACTTGCAAGCTTCCTTTTGACCCAGCTGCTGTACAATTATGATCTAACAGTTATAAATGTAACGTAAAACATATGTCAACAACAAGATATGCATGAAGATTAAACCATTGACAGTCGAGAAAACATGAAAGGCATACATTCAGAGGCCCAGACAGCATGATGAATTAGTTTAACTCCAGACACTGTTTGTGTATAAAGACCTAATTATCATGTGGCTCTGGAAGCAATCCTCACGTCAACAGCTTTAATGCGTGTGAGGGTCCTCAGTGGTCACATGCTCCGAGACGACAGGAAAACTTTACAATATTTCTGCCTAAATCTATATTTATTTTCTTAGTTTCTAGCTGCCTTTTGGTTGTTTAAGTCAAATATGTTTTTCTCTTCTGTTTGTCACTTCAGACAAATTGTTTCTCTGTGTCTTTCATTCTTCTCCCTTCAAACAAATTGTTCACAAATAATTCACCACTCATGTCTAGAGCTGAGTGAGAACTAATCTTTGTATTTAGTAACTAAGTTCCATGCGGAACCTTTCAATGAAGGCCTGGTGCAAGCTCAGGCATTCAATCATATAGTGTATTTATACACTTATATATACTATACATCAATCTTAATACAGTATGTTGTCTACTAAAGGGCCAAATTAAAATGATTGTGATTTACATGATTTCCAAGTGGATCTAATTCTACTTGGAAATCATGAAACTACTAAAACTAAAAGTCAACACATAAACTCTTCCCTGAGGTATATTTACATGTATTCCTGGAATTATACATTAAACTGCTTAATGAAAAATGCTACAGGGTAACCACAAACTTCCAACTAGCAGTGTATCAGCTGATCAGACAGTTGTTCTCCTTCTGACTCTCCCTAATTCGGTGACTAATTGATTTATAGACTTTTCCATCAGCACTATCTGGGTTAAAAGATGTGCATTGTGTTCTGGGTTATCGAATTGAATAGAGTGATGATATAACAAGCTATTTCAGATCGAAGAATCTGACAAGAGTATCTGCTCTGTAATTACAACAGTCACAGTTGTATGTACTGGTTCAGTTGTAACATGCACAAAAACATGCTGTTGGATATGAGGCTTCACTATTCAGTCTAACATGCTAGAGGCCTTTTCTTTTATTTCATTTTCCTAAACAGGGTGACACAGTTTTTCTTTGTACTCAGAACACGTACAACATGGCCATCTTCTTCTAAATTTAAAGTTTCAGTTTTGTGAAATCAAAACGCCTCCCTCCCCCCGTGTGTACGTGACCCAAAGCATTATTGCTGCTTTCTCAGACGTGACTTCACCCTTGTACTGTGTAAGGAAAAAAAAGGGTAGGTCAGCCTGACTGGGTTTCTCCAAGATGAGAGGGTTCGCCCTGTGAATGCTGCGAGCGTCTGTTCTTGCACGTACACCTGATATTGAGCCGCTGTGGCGGGTGGCCAGCAGGATATCCCTTCTGACCACGAGTGCTTATAATTATTGTTTTATGTGTGTGTTTGTGGATATGTGTGTGTGTGTGTGTGTGTAGGAGGATGGAGAGCTCATCCTCGAGGGGTTGCTGAACATCTACTGGGGTCTACGCCGACCAATCAGACTTCAGATGCACGATGACAATGAAAGATTTCGTCTCAACAGGTGCGACAACCTGATCCAGACTGACACAGATGCCTTCATGTGCGGACCTCAACCAGTATCCCCACCCTGTATTATTTAGTGTTGGACCTGTGTCGGACATGATGTTTCTGTACTTAAGATTAGGTCAAGTTTTTTTTGGCAATACTTTGACATTGAGAAAAGATAAGTTAAAATAAGGGATACGACTTCATTGATTGCCAAAGAGGACATTTACATGTTACGGCAGCACAAGAATCAGTCTGGAGCGGTAGTGAATTAAATATAATTAACATTCATTAATTCCAATTTCTCATTTTTTGTCATATAAAATAAAGTGAATATTTTGGGGGGTTTCTCTTAATCACATAAAAACGATCATTTGAATACATAATTTTCTGACATTTATTGCCAAAATAATTAATATATTGAATTAAATTATTGCAATGGCAGATTATAATGAAAATAATTTTAGGTAGTGTAGTGGAAGTGAGGAAAATGAGTCAGAAGGATAAAGAGGAGGACATTTTAAGTCATGTTCCTTACCTCCTCTCTTGCGTCTTACATGAAATAGAAGTAGGGCATTATGAGTCCAAAGGCGAGTATTTTTAGGAAATATAGTATCTCAGATATTTAAAATATCTTAAAAAAGTTAGATGATAATATCAATAACTCTTTTATCAGACAGCCAGGAGACAGTATTAACAGATTGTAAACAATAAACAGTGTTAGGAATGTTAACATAAACACATTTTTCCTCTGTCTTTCTACAGAAACGACAGATCTACTGTGGCAAAGCAGTTATCTGCAGAGTCTAACAATAATTCACTGGGCAGAGAAACTGGACTTGCTGGTGAGTAACATGCACATGCAGCCACTTTCTCACACACACAAACACCTGCTGGATTAATGGAGATTACATACACGTGCTAAAGCAGATTAGAGCTCCACAAGTGCCTCCTCCAGCATCTCAAGTGGAGAGGTTGGCTCACGCGGTCAGCACAGATTACCATGAGATGCCATCCAGATCAGATCACCAACATTATAAATAACCATGGTTAGACTGCTTAGTCTGGGTCTGACTTTTGAAGCAGTTTTGTCACATGCTGACATCTCATGGGAGTCGTTCTTGGTCACAGATTAACAATTAAAGAAATGTGTTTGTATTTTCTCCCCCTAATAGCATTAGTTTTGTCACATGGGGTTAATGCTGTCTGAGAGGAAATTCTGAACCCTCACAACTAAACTGAAATGGTTATGTATTTGTATGTAACTGACATCCTCTAGATCTTAATTTGAGAGCAAAAGAGTATACATTTATCGATGTGTGTGTATTACATTAAAGTCACTTTTGATAAGTCTAACATTGGTGTCCAGGTTAAAAACATAGAAAGAAACAAACAAACACTATGAGAGAGAGTTTAAAAAGAAATCTTGTAACCTTATACTTTTACTCTACTATATTTTTTTTACTGCTATAGTTACTTTTCACCTTTTAAGATCTTACATTACAAACATAATCGGATCATAACATTTGATGCGTTGGTTGAGAAGCATCGGCCTAAACTACCTAACTTAAAGTAGTCAAAACCAGCTTCATTAATGACAATCTAATAATGTCATATATAATAATATATCTATTACAGGTAACATTTTACAGCAGAATGTGTACTTTAACTTTTGATACCTACAGCATACTGTATTTTAAGATTGTTGTATTGACTTTTACTTAAAGCAGCAACAAAGAACCTTTATTTTTTGTTGATTCTGGACAAAAGCGGAAGTGTTTCCACTGCCTTGTTTCATTGATTTCAAGGGGAATTAAGAGACACTAAGAATAACTAGATAAAAATTGCCAATCTTCTTACTGATGGTCTTGTTTGTTTACGTAGGTCATATAGAGGCATCAGCATTGTATGGCATAACCAGTTAAAAAAAACATTGTAGTATGTTTAAGTAAAGGATCTGAGTACTTCTTCCACCACTAATGCTGACGTATACAAAACGGGCACCATCTGATGCATGCAGTGACAGAGGTGTGTTTTTTGTTCACGTGCATCCACAAGGTGGTGACGTGGATGGTCAAGAGGAAGAGGATTCTCCTCAGCTGCTGAGGACCAGGAGTGACGCTTCCTTCATGCAGGTTCAGAGGAGGTCAAAGACACACACTGCCAGAGACCTGCAGCGCTTGCGCACACACAGGTTCTCAATCAACGGACACTTCTACAACCACAAGGTACAATAAACAGAACACACATACAAGCATGAACATTAATGTATCCCGTTGTTGACACATGTCCAGGGGCAGGGGGAGGCAGCAGTTTCCTGAGCGGGTGTGCCTGTACTTGTGCTGAGTTTCCCAACAGCCTGCTGTGAGCTGATTTCATTAATGTGCCACAGAGTACAAGGTTACAATGAGTCCCTTCATCAGTTTCTCCTGAATACAGTATGTGAGTGTGTTGTTGTTGAACAGATTCCAGCTGCCGGGATTTCCTTTCTGTTTTAGTTTTCCTGTTCAAAATGTCCAAGTCCAGGAATCCCTTCTCAGTTCTAGGAGTGTTGATGAGTCCCCAGGACTGTGTGTTCTCTCTGTTATAGATTTATGCATGTTTGTTTCCCTTGCCTCTAGACATCTGTATTTACTCCAGCCTATGGTTCGGTCACTAATGTACGAGTAAACAGCTCCATGACCACTGGACAAGTACTCAACCTGCTGCTACACAAGTTCAGGGTAAGCAGTAAGACACTGTTTACACCTAAAGTAGTATATCAGGAAAACCAGAAATAATCTGTATTTGTGTCTTTTAAGGTGGAGAATAAATGTGAAGAGTTTGTCCTTTATATGGTGCACGAGTCTGGCGGTAAGTTGTAACTTTTAATTGCGGTTTTGTCGCTAGATATGTTGTGTTTTTGTGTGTTTGTGTTCAGTTGTTTTCTTTGTCTATAACCTTGCAGAGAGGACCCGACTGAGGGATGGTGAATACCCACTGGTGGCTAGAGTGCTTTACGGACCCTGTGAGAAAGTCTCCAAGATCCTCATCACGGAGGCCGACCTGGGAGAGGAAGTCACATATGATGTGAGTCTGGGCCTCCTGCCACCACTCTCTCCGTTCTGTCATCTCGTTCACGATACGTGACCCCTTTGTCATTTTTTTGTAGTCCTCAGCATAGACACAATGATACAATGGACCCGTTATAGACAGTTGAGTTATATTTAGCAAGATGAGGAAAGATATCCTGTGTCGGGACTGATGTAACAATAGGATAAGATGGCCGACTGTATGTTGTGACTGCTCTGAGTAATATAAATAAAACCGGATTGTTGCTGGAGAACTATTATAGATTGTCTATGATTTGAATCACTCTCATACAAGTTGAAGGGTTAGCTCATAAAAAATCGAATAAAAAAAATCAGACTTACGTCTAGTGGCTGTTTTTATTTGTCCAGGTTTTGAAATATCCATTTATTATTTCTGCCTCGACTCCAACACAATGGAGGTGAATGGAATTTTATTTGTGTTGCTCAGAGCATTAAAAGATTACATTGGAAATATTCAATAGTAATGTTTCCTTCGAGGAATAGACTCTGGATGAACCACAGCACACGCATTAGACCGTTTTAATTAGAACCACTTTGCACTGAATATAGTCCTTGTTCATAGTGATTTCTGTGGATTACCAAGAAAAACAGTAAAGTTGTTTCTGGAAACAGTTGTTCCAGTTTGTTTTTTATGTGAAATATGTGTTTTTTGTTTGTTTGGTTGGTTGTTTTTGTTGTAATTGTGGTAAACTGACCCTTTAAGATAGTGATAAACCTATTCCACTTTTATTGTCTTTTTTTGGGTTGCCTGTGCATGCCTACAGTATTGGTGCAGGTAGTATCATATAATCAAGGACTTGTGTGGCTTGCTCGTGCTGATATGCTTTCATTTTTTTCTTCCCAGGTTGCCCAATACATAAAGTTTGAGATTCCTGTTTTAGACAGCTTTGTAGAGAAACTTAAAGAGGAAGAGGAACGTGAGATAAACAAACTAACCAAAAAGTAAGTCAAGAGTCTCTCTACTCAGCAAACTGAGTTACAAAACAATTTTCACAAAGCCTCCTTTAATGACACTGATCTATTTCATTATGTGAAACCAATATCTGTGTCTCCTGCCGGCATTACAGAGTCAAAACAAGGCCTTCAATGAGGACTGTGTTTGTGTAAAACATTCATCACTCACTGTTTGCATAATTGTGTAATCATCAACTCATATGACTGAGATCTCAACCCTGTAATCCCGACTGTGTGTTTTTCGACTGTCTTCTTTTTCTACAAATACAGGGATATTTTACAACATACACTTATTATAATTCATAAGCTTGTAGATTTTTTACTATAAACCATAAATAAATTGATCTCGCTAACAATTATTGCCTTTTGTTAGCTTACTCCTCTCTGCCATTGAATCTCACTGCTGTCCAAAAACTATTAAAAACATTAGTGATCCTCACTGTTGCACTGGGTGATATGTTGCTTTATCACAATGAAAACACACACTAGTTTATTTCGTGCTTGGGGCTGAGAGCCAGAGACGGGGTCAGGAAGGAGACCAACAAAGTAACACATTGTTGGATAGGGTCTTTCAAATAACACCATCCTTATCCTTTAGAGCAGGGATCTCAAACTCAAATTAGCTTGGGGCCACTGCTGATATTGTCATCTCATAGGAGGATATTTCCTTTACTAATATCATACTTAACGAAAGAATGCAAACAGCAGTTTCTACAAAGTTTTAAATCATCATTTTGTATAATCTTTGTTGTGTTGTCTTTGTTGTCTGCAGGTACAGTGCTCTGAGGTCTATGATTCAACATCAGCTCGACAGCAAAGCTCACACCAGTGACAGAGAATGAGTGTTTCTGAATGCATGTGTGCACTGATGTAACCTGGGTGTGTGTGTGTGTGTG